CATGGATGTCCCTTCTTATTATCTGTTTGCGGTTAATCCCATTGCCATTCACTTCAATCCCGCGTGGAACGGGGATGGCAATGGGATGGCATCGGCCGCTACGTTTGGCTGGGGACGAATCTGTTCCCCACTTTCCTACTTCCATGATCCCGTCCGAACTGGTGGGTGTTCGACACGCAAATATGATTCTGTTTGGTTAGACAGAATCGTAGGCTTGGCATGATTTTTTTGGGCTAACGGACCAAATCAAGAATTCGTGACAAACATTCTTGATTCCGCCCATTTCGCTGTTAGAGGTGCCAGCGAACACCACCAGTATGTTCCCTCTGTCTCGTATGTGACCGTAGTACGACGCCATCAAATATTATCATCTAGCATCATAAAAAAGGTTTTTGAGGGTCCCCAACTGTAGAATCAGTCAGGTTAGTACCGCATGATCAATCGTTAGAATGCGTTTAAGTTTTGACTTCTCCGCCTGTCAAGAAACATATTTCTATATAACTGCCCTTTGCATTAACATGGTTTAGTGTAGCCTAATGTTGGTGGTGCACCCCTTGCATGCTTGCTATATCTTGTAACTCTTCTCTTAGTGAACCTCCGCTCTGGCTTGCTCAACTCTCTCGATACTCATGCTAGTACCCAGAACCCTAGCCATGGTTCCTAAGTCTAACTAGTTCCTTTTGACATGCTATCAGAGCGGGTCCCGAGCCAGGACCGTTCATTTTATGGGCCCACCACACGCCATGGCGCGCCTCGTCGCGCAGAGTGAAGACCGCCTCGAGAGCGCCCCGACGATGAGCTCATCGCGCTGCCTGCAGCCCGCCGCCAGCGTGCTATCCGCTGCTTCAGCCTGTTGACCACGCGTTGCCCGTCGTCGCTTGGTCGCCCCGTCGCCCGGGGCTGTGCTGCCCCCCCGCGTCGCCCGCCCGTTGGCCGCCGCGTCCTGCTCGTTGTGAACTCCGGCGTGGCCCCCGTTCCAGCCCCCCGTCCCGCCCTGTCGCGGCCCTAATCGCGACGCTTGTCGCGCCCGTTTCGCCCGACCCCGCTGCTCGTCTCGCCCCCCCCCCACCCTTGTCACGGCCATACGTGTCTACAGTGACGGTCGCTGTTGGGAGGGGAGGGGAAGGAAACGGGGAAGGGGATGGCGGCCATGGGAGGAGGCGGGAGTGCAGGTGGAACTGCCAGGCTGTGGGGGGAAGGGTAAGGGAGTGGGGAGAGAGTCTCTGCCACGCCAACAGCCGCCCCTCCTCCTCTCTCTCTCACTGCCGCGTGTGCAGCAGTGGGGGGGGGAGGGTTTGGGGGTGGCGGGTGTGAGCAACCTCCTGCAGCCCCTCCTCCTCTCTCTCTCACTGCCACACGTGTCGCTGTGGGGGGGGGGGGGTGAGGGGGTAGCGGAAGGGGTGCGGTTCCGGGTGGCGGCTGAACAAGGGGGTGAGGTTTTTTGGGGGGTGGCTGAAAGGGGGTGTGGCTTTGGGGGTTCGTAAGAGGGGTTTGCCACATGGCTCCCCCCACCTCCTCTCCTCGTCCCTCTCTCACCTCCCCCTTTGTTACAGGGGGGTTCGTAAGAGGGGTTCGCCGCGTGGCTCCCCCCCACCTCCTCTCCTCATCTCTCTCTCTCTCACCTCCTCCTTGGTTCTTCCCTCCTTCCGCTTCGCAGTCTGTTTGGTGTACCCCTTCAGGGGGCGTCAAGTTCACATTGTTATTGCTGCTGGCAGTTATGGGGGCGTGTTAAGAAACATATTTCTATATAACTACCCTTTGCATTAGCATAGTTTTGTGTAGCCTAATGTTGGTGGTGCACCCCTTGCATGCTTGCTATAGCTTGTAACTCTTCTCTTAGTGAACCTCCTCTTTGGCTTGCTCAACTCTCTCGATACTCACGCTAGTACCCAGAACCCTAGCCATGGTTCCTAAGTCTAACTAGTTCCTTTTGACACCGCCTTCTTGCCGTCCATATCTATTGTGTAAAAATTGTCGCCATCAGTTGCGTCAGTAGCCACGCAAAAATTAGTTAGATCGCCGCGAGCCGCGTGTACAAAGGCCTCTTGTCTCCATAAAATCAATCTCGGAACTGAACCATACACGTAGTAAATCTTCACCTTGAGCCCTTGTGACGACCGTAAAGCAAGAGAAGCGTTTTCATGTGAAGCTTGAAGTAGCAGAGAATCCATTTTTTTATTTCGCGTATAAGATTATTCCCTTGATATTAGTCGGATGGCAGCAAAGGCCGACATTCTGAAGGCATTATGTTGAACTAAATTCTTGTATTTGCATTTCCAGCCTTGGCTTGAACTTGTATGTAGCTTATGTTCGGCTGAGAAAAGCCCTTAGGATCTTTGCAGGACTAAATTCTGAGTAGGACAATGTAATAGCGGAAGCGTTAAATGAGAACTTTGTGAACCACCTTGCACTAGTATGTGAGGGCAAAGTAGATTGATTAAAACAAAGGGATACAAGCTTTTATAAGAGTACAAGGAATACGAAGAGATACAGTTAATAACCGTTTTGCTGTTGCTGTTGCGGTTCGATACAGTGACGACTCGGGCAACTGCTCAATAGCGAGTCAGTTGTTTGTCCTTGCTGTCGCGCTGTATTTGTCAGGTCAAAAGTCGCTGACCTTTGACTTTCGCATAACCTCCAGCAGTTGTTCAACCTCCGAGGGTTGACTCGCTAATGCTTCGATATGTTTCGCTTCGCTTCTGACTTGGTGTTTCGACACGACAGAGGCGCTAAATCAATTGTTTCCAACAGCTTATGATGCCATCTTTGATGTCCTGGAACTTGCATGCAGTTTAAGAAGTCAGATACGGCTTTTATTTTTTTTCCAGGAGAAGCAACGACGACCAAATGTTCTCTGTATGACACGACGCTGGTGCCGGAAGCAAGCTCCTGCAGAGTAGGTTCTGAATCTAAACTAATGCATCGAAGGTTGACATTGATAGCGTTAAGTTGTTGCCAGGAGCCATGGCGGAGAGGTCACTAGGTGACTCAGTCTGTGTGACTCGGTGGTTGCAAGGGTTTATTTCCTGTCTAGGAGGAAACTAGACAGGGTTGCAAGGAGCTTCTTTGTGGTGAAGCTGACATGAGAATTGCAACAGCTTCAGCATCCGGTGTCTATTGTATGGAGTATGAGGCTGACCGTTTTGTGAGAAATAGCTTGTATGGGGTACCACCGCACAATTGATACGTATGGTTCCTTCGAGTCGGCTTCAGCTCGTAGCGCACTCGTATACGCGGTCTGTAAAAAAGTGCGGTGGAGCTTGTCCTTTATAGGCGTGAATTGCAACACTTTAGGGCGCGTTCTTATTGCCTGGGTATCGGGGCATGGATAAGGTCGTACTCGTGGTTCTGCGTTGTGTTCCGAACCCCTCTTGTATGAAAATGGGCTACTTGAGGCCTCGTGCCCTGTTCATGTTCGTTAGTCCTGACATGCGTCATTCAAGAACGTGATTGCATGTGATTCAGTTACCGTGAACCACACATTCGCTCCCTCCAGTCTTCCCCGTCCATTCAACTCCAGACCAAACCAAAAAGTTTCAGATGCAACATGGGACGAAACAGAATGGCTTTGAAATTAGTACGCTCCAGTGTGTGGACCGAGTGCGCCAACATCATTTTGTCGCACGGCCCTAAAATCACCGGCATGAAAAAAAAAAAAAAAAAACCCTTGTTTGTGAATCAAATAATGCAACACGATTGGCTAACGAACCAAGAACCAGATTTCTACGCGAAATAGCTGCAGTCGAGGGTTTGCTTGCATGGGTTGCAGACTTGCAATGACAGAAGCAACCGGCTAGTGAAGGGATAGCAGTAGAGTGGTCCTTACCCTCAGGGTTTGCTCTGCTGCTGGTTTGCAGTGCCTGCACTGTTTTATCAGCAGCAAGCTCCCTGTCAGGATGCTGGTTTGTTTGGGGATCCTGTTTCTGGATCTAGGGTTCACTTCGCGCTTGTGTGTGTGTGTGTGTATGTGTTTTTTTTTTTTTTTTTTTTTTTTGGTTCGAAGGGCGGCTATCCAGTGGATGCGAAAGCAAATACTACGGCAACGACCACAATTAGGAGGGGTTGGAGGAATCTCGCCACCGTCGCCGCACTCTTTCCATGAAATTGGGCGGTAAGCGCCCAAGAGAGACACAGTTTCCCTTTTTGGACGGCAAAGAGACTCGTTGCTGAGCGAACTTGCAAACTAACCTGACAGACCGAACGAGCGGCTCGTATAAAGTTCCTGCTCTGAGCTGTCCCTCCTAGTGGCAGCTCGTTGTCCGTTCTTGCCGCTGCTACTACACCCTGCCGATCCCTAGACAGCTGGTCTAGCAGACTAACATTGTTTGAAGCAGGAGTTTGTCTGACATAAGCGGTAACTGTGATGAGCCGCATCTGCCATGTGGCCAACGCAGGGCGGTCATTTTTTTAGTCGACTCAAAAGACAGTGAGATAAGCACTATCAGCAGGCTGTTAGAGTCTAATGCGCATCTGCCATGTGGCCAACGCAGGGCGGTAAAACCACCGCAGGCAGCAGCAGTGAATTTCAAGACGGCAGAGGGAGGGAGTATCATCATGATACTCGTCCCCACCATGACAGCAACATCAGGCAGTCCGGTCAAATACCCGGGCCGGGCCAAGGCCAAGCTACTTTCACGCAGAGTAGTACTGGTAGATCGATTATTACTAATCAGGCTTCCTCTGCTCCTTCCATATACCCAAGGTTCAATTATTTCAACCCGTATAATGTGAGTGCAACTGGGAGTTCACCCTTTAACGCGCCTAACTCCTTGGCCCCGCATCATCTCGCCGCGTTTGCAGCTTATTATTCTGCCATATCGCCTTTCCTCTCCGCACCTCCCTCGTTTCCCCATACTCTGCTGGAATTCTTTAATAACCGCTCCGATACACTCATGACCCATTCAAGTTATCAGCAACAGCCTACCAGCACCCTTATGGCCCCGCCCTTCATCTCAGCCGTCCATCAGCAACGGCAAGATCAAGGCTGGTTAACCCCCGCAATGATGGCATCGCTACAGTCGCCACAGTCCGTTGGCATGATGCCACGTGGCTCATCTCCGTTCTCTGTCCCCAGCATCCGTCCCGGTAACACGGCCGGCATGCAACTACCGTTTTCCTCACATACTAACAGTAGGGAAGATCCTACTAACGCAGCAGCGCCGGCAGCAGCAGCAATAGCAGCGACCGCACAACCCACTCCCTTTGCATCAGGAGCAGGGGCAGCAGCAGGAGCAGCAGCACATGCAGGGGGGGGAGGTTCAGGAATTCAAGGCAGTAGCGTCTCTGCATGGGCTTTTCAATCATGGCCTCCTGGTGGTGCCAACCCTTTTGGGGATGGTGCTAACCCTGCTAGTGGTGGTAATCCTGGTGGCGGTGGTATCCCTGGAGGCGTTAATAACAGCTTCTGGAGTGGTGCTGCGCAGCAGGCATGGGCAATGGGAGGTGCTCCTTCAATGGCGGCGATGACAGCAGGGATGGGCATCGATGCAGCTGCTGCCAGGTAGGGTTTTAGAAAGGAAGGGAGGAAGGAACGAAAGGAGGGAGGGAGCGAGGGAGGGATGGGAGGGAGGGGAGGGAGGGGAGGCCGGGGAGGGAAGGGAGGGACGGGATGGAAGGGAGAGGGGGGAGAGAGGGAAAGGGAGGGGAGGGAGGGAAAGGGAGGGGAGGGAGGGAAAGGGATGGGAGGGAGGGAATGGCCTGCTGATGCTCGTATCTTGATCCTTACCCTTTCTGCACCTCCTCCTCCCCACTCCTTCCCTCTCCGCCTTCCTCTCCCCCCCACACCTCTTCCTGCTCCTCGTCTCCCTCCCTCGCGCCCTTCAGCCCCTCAGTAAGTCACATGGGGCAGCGAAGGCCATCCAGCCGTTCTGTTCCGGGTTCTTCCCCCCACCCTATCTTTCCCCAACCTCCCTTCAGGCACTCGTCATGGCATGATCGGCAGCAAAGGCCATCCAACCGTTCTGTTCCGAGTTCTTTCCCCCACTCTCCCCTCTGTCTCCCAACCTCCCTTCAGGCACTCGTCATGGCACGAGGGGCAGCAACGGCCATCCGACCCTTCTGTTCCCGGTTCTTCAACCCCTGCGTCTGCCTCTGCTGCTACCGCCAGCACCACAGCCACGAACATCAACACCACAAGCAGCGCCGGCGGTTCTGCTTCCGGTGCAACTCCTGTTGCTGCTGCTGCTGCTGCCGCCGCTGCTACTTCTGCACCTGCAGCTGCTCCTGCTGCTGCTCCTGCTGCTGCTCCTCCTCTTCCTGCTGCTGCGGGCAGTGCGGGCAGCCTACCCCCAGTGGCAGCATCGGCACCGCGGCTGAGCGCACCAGACGACGGGTACCACTGGCACAAGTACGGGCAGAAGTGCCTCATGGAGCGCGAATACGCCAGGTGAGGGCGCAAGGCGGTGAGGCAGCGAGTGGGTGAGGTGAGACTACTTGCAGGTGAGCGCACAGGCCGATGGGTACCACTGGCACAAGTACGGACAGAAGTGCCTCATGGAGCGCAAATGTGAGGCCTCACTGTGGTGAGGGCGCTGGTGAGGCCACAACCGGGTGAGGTGAGGCTGCAAGCAGGTGAGGCTTCAATCGGGTGAGGCACCAAGCCACTGGCGTCACGTCAGGTGAGGCCGTGTACTAGACTACGCGGAGAGGCGGGGACTTGTGATGTGCGATCAGCCTTGTGGATTTACGAGTCTGGGGCCTTGTGCAGCATTGCGTGTGCAGGCGTTTTTTTTTTTTTTTTTTTTTTTTTTTTTTTTTTTTTTCCCCGTGAATGCTGCATCCTGTAGCTTGCCCCTCTCGCCTCTCTCATCTGCCTTCCCTCCAACTCTCTCCTCTCTCCTCATTCCTCCCTCCTCCCTCCCACCTCCTCTCTCCCCCAGGGCGTATTCCCGGTGTGCCAAATACACCATCAGCTGCGCCGCAAAGAAGACAATCGACATTCCCCTCGTGCGAGCAGCCATTTCTGAAGCACCTAACGAACCCTCTCTCCTCCTCCCTCTCTCCTCCCTCCCACCTCCTCTCTCCACCAGGGCGTATTTCCGGTGTGCCAAATACACCATCGGTTGCACCGCAAAGAAAACCATCGACATTCCCCTCATGCGAGCAGATTTTTCAAGCGCCTAACGAACCCTCTCTTCTCCTCCCTCTCTCCTCCCTCCTCTCTCCTCCCTCCCCCTCTTTCCCTCTCTCCACCAGGGCGTATTTCCGGTGTGCAAAGTACACCATCGGTTGCACGGCCAAAAAGACCATCGACATTCCTCTCGTGCGAGCAGCCATTTCCGGGGGTCTGAGAATAGTCTACTCGGGAAAGCACTGCCACCCCCCTGCGCGCAACATCCCCTTCCCCCCGGTTGCCGTTCCCGGCTCTGCCACTATTACTGTCTCTGCTTCTGCTGTCATTTCTGCTGCGCCGAGTGAATCTGCTGCTGCTAGTGATCCGGCTTCTCACAGTGACGGTGGTGCTGCTGCTGGTACCGCTGCTGGAGCCGTTGCTGCTGCTGGTGGTGCTGATGCTACTGCTGATGGTACCGTTGCTGCTGCTGGCGATACTGATGCTACTGCTGATGCTGCTGCAGCTGCTAGTGCTCCTGCGACTGCTGGTGCTGTGACTGCAGCTGATGGCCTTGGTGGTCCAGTTGGTGACGGTGAGAATGGAATACAGGCCAGTCCGGGCAATACTGGTAAGAAGGTCAGATTGCGTGCTTCTGATGTGCAAAGGCAGGGGACTGGAGGGAAAACGATCCGAAGTTTTAAGGTGGCTGCGGCAGGGAGACGTGAAGAAGGGGGAGGAAGAGAAGGCAGGAGAGGAGGGGAGGAAAGAGAGGAGGGGGAGGGTAGGGAGAGGACGGAGAGCGAGGGGGTGGATGGGCGAGAGGACGGGATGAAGGGTGAGAGAGAGGAGGGAGAGGGAGGAGAGGGGGGTAGAATGGGTGGTGGGAGGAGTGAGAGGAGTGAGCGGAGTGGGAGGAGTGAGAGGAGAGCGAAGAGTGGGAGGAGAGAGAGGAGTAGGAGGAGAGAGAGGAGTGGGAGGAGAGAGAGGAGTGAGGATGGTGTGGAGCGAGATAGCAGCCCCGATAAGAGTGAGAGTGGTGGGAGGAGTGAGAGAAGCGGGAGGAGTGAGAGAAGCGGGAGGAGTGAGAGAAGCGGGAGGAGTGAGAGAAGCAGGAGTGAGGGTAGTGGAGGGTGCGGGATTGGTGGGGGATGCGGGAGTGGTGAGCGTGGTGGGAGGAGGGAGAGTGCTGATATGGTTGAGAGTGAGGAAGATGTCAGAGCTATGCACAGGGGCGGAGGCATGGGGGAGGGCGGATGGATGGGGGAGGGCGGAGGCATGGGCGAGGGCGGAGGGATGGGGGATGGCGGAGGCATGGGGGAGGGCGGAGGCATGGGGGACGGCGGAGGCATGGGGGAGGGCGGAGGCATGGGGGAGAGCGGAGCTATGCACAGGGGCCAAGTTATGGGGGAGGGCGGAGCAATGGGCGGGTATTGGGCAACGGGGGAGGGTGGAGCAGCACACTTGGTGACAGAGATGGAGGGAGGTAGAGAGGAAGTGAGAGTAAGTGGAGGGGAGGTGAAGGAAGAGGAGGGAAGCGATTTTGGAGAAGTTGTGGGGCGGGAAGACAGGAGGAGAGGAGTGGGGCGAGGGAGTGAGGGGAGAGTCGTGGGGCGCAGGAGCGAGGGGAGGGGAGTGTTGCGCGGGAGTGAGGGGACGGGAGTGAGGCGGCGGAGTGAGGTGGAGGGAGGGCGAGGCGAGGTCCAGCCAGGTGTATCGTGGTCGGAGCTTCCTCTCTTCTCCTTCCTTCCTGCCTCTGCAGCCTCCCCTCCTCCTGCACACCAGGAACAGCAGCAGCAGGAGCAGCAGAAACAGCAAGAGAAACAGCTGCGTAGACAGAGGCAGCGACAGCAGCAATACGAGGAACAACAGCGGCACCAGCAATACAAGGAACAACAGCGGCAGCAGCAATACGAGGAACAACAGCGGCAGCAGCAGCAACAACAGGAACAAGTGCAGCAGCAACAGCAGCAGCAACACAATCAACAGCAACAACAAAAGCTGCAGCAACAGCAAGGACAGCAGCAGCAGCAACAGAACCAACAGCAGCAACCACAGGAGCAACAGCAGCAACAACAGGAGCAACAGCACCAACACGAACAGCAACAGCTGGAGCAGCAACCACCGCAGGAATCACAAGAGCGGTTGTTGATGCAGGAAGCGCTGCTACAGGACCCTTCGTTTGTGTCACACGTGCTCTCGGTGGTCAGGCGAGAGGTAGCTGCTGCAGCCACAGCCGCTGCTGGTGGTTCTGCTGCTGCTGGTGCTGCTGCCGCTGCTGCTGCTGCTGCTGCTGCTGCTGGTGCTGCTGCTGGTGCTGCTGCTGCTGGTGCTGCTGCTGCTGGTGCTGCTGCTGGTGCCGCTTCTGGTGCCGCTGCTGCTGGTGGTGCAGTGGGCGCATCAGGTGGTGCAGTTGCGTCAGGTGTTTCAGGAGTTTCAGGCGTTTCAGGTGCTTCAGATGCATGGGTTCGGTTTACTGCTGAGAAGGTTCTTACTTCCCTGGCACTAACAGGGGTTCCATCCCTCTCATTGACAGCAGCACCACCAGCACTGCCAAAGGCAGCAGCGGCGGCGACAATAGCACCACTGGCACCAGCACAAGCACCAGCACCAGTACCAGCACCGCAAGAAGCACCAGCAACAGAAGCGGTGGCACTACCACCACCAGCGCCAGCAGCACCAGCAGCAGCAGCAGCACTAACACATGTCCCAACCCAGCCGTTCCTCCCACCTTTCAACCTTGTACCACCTCCCATGCACCCCACCGCACTCTCTTCTCTTAACCCACTCTCTTGGCCTTCCCAACAACCTCCCCCCCACTCCCTCTTTCCTAATCCATTTGGCCTATTCCCCTCCTCCACACCCCCATTTTCCTCCGCACCCCCATTTCCCTCTTACACACCTCCATTCCCCTCCTCCACACCTCAATTCCCCTCCTCCACACCTCAATTCCCCTCCTCCACACCTCCATTTCCCTCCTCCACACCCCCATTCCCCTCCTCCACACCTCAATTCCTCTCGGCCTACAATCAAGCCCTGCAGATGTACCTCACACAGCAAGCACCCATCCCCTCTTCGTATCAGAACATGCCTCCTGTCTCCCAGTCTCTGCTGCTTGCCCAGCAATCACAGTATCAGCAACAGCAGCTGCTGCAGCAGCAGATGCTACGGCAGCAACAAATGCACCAGTTGCAAATGCAGCAGCAGCAACAGCAGCAGTTGCAAATGCAGCAGCAGCAGCAGCAGCAGGGTGTTGGTGGTCTTGGTTCCAACCCTAACACTGTGCAGGATTGGCTGTTACATGCGCACATGGGGAGCCGTAATGATACAAATGCATCTGCTGGTTACGATGCGGCCGGAAATGTTACGAGTGCAACAGTTAATAGCTTCACCCAAGCCCAAAGCGGACCCCGCCAAGGCGAGCCATCAGTACCAAGGAGAGAGGAGGAAGAACATGTGTTGGAGCAACCGTCATTGGAAGCAACGCCAGGGATTGATTGTGATAGGGAAGCAGGGGCGCAGGATGATGGATTAGACCTAGTTCTCAACCTTTAGTTGAGTCGGTAGTTAGAAAAGCCATAGGGTAATTACACAGCACAACTTTAGCTAGTGTTGTGGCAAGTATTGTTGTAGGACCAATAAGCGATTATTAGATCTGAAAAAAAAAAAATCACATCAGGTGCTTCAAAGCCTTGATTCGAAAGTTTATGATTTGTTTTCCTTATTTATTACGGCATTTCTCACATTTTTCCTTATGTTGTCTCTTTCTGTACTTTGTGTAAAATACACTCAACAGTTGTTAATCCACCAGACCGCGTCGGTTTACCGTTGATATTTTCGCCAACACGTCGCGTTCTTTCAGAGAGAGAAGCGTGCCGCCATCGGTCTTGCCTTCTCCCATCCCAAGCTGCGGGGCATTCCCAAGGGGCACCCTCCGAGCATATGCGTGCGGCAGACCCAACCAACTGCGCTTGCTGCTGTTTGTATGCGGTTGCCCCTCCGCACACACAATCGCACGGGGAGCGTCAACGAAAAAGGTTGAACGCTTGAGCACTACAGTTTTTCCACTGGTACTTTGCCAGGAAGTTAGAATCTGTAGAACAAGGACAAACATTTCCCGAAACAGCCCATACATGGAGGGGAATCGAATGGTTTTCACACTGCCCTGAAATGCTTAGGCTCTTATGAAGGAATCTAGGTGGGAGAATAACTTGCTTGCGCACTCCGCCGTGGGGGAGTTTTGTTCTCACAGGGTCCTGCCTGCCTGCCTTCCCCTCCTCCCGCCCGACAAGACAATTCCCTAGGAGGTGGTTTTCACCAATTAGTTTCGACTAGCTCAAGGGTCCGTGGTGTGTGCTTTCCGTTTCTCCACATTAGGCCTCGTGTTCTAGGACTGTCCGTTCGTACTATTTCCGCTCGGTTTGTCTCACTACCAAGGTTTCTGGTCAAGTTTGCGAGCTCACTAAGCTGAGTAGTTCAGATACCAGGAGCCCTAGGTAACAGAAATCGTCTTTTCCAGCAAGACTTGCAACAGTCGCCTGTAGTTTTCAGCAAGCTCGTAACAGTCGCCTACTACATCTTCGGCTGCTTGATACGCAAATACTCTTTCTACATTTTTTTAGAAAATGGGCTGTTGCGCTTCGAAGCCCGCAACAGACGATGGTCCCTCCGCTGCGCCTAAAGCGGAAGCCGCTGCTCCGCCGTCCGCCTCCGCAGGAGCAACCGATGCTGGCGCCGGCACTACTACCGCAGCTGACTCTGCGCCTGCAGCCGGCAAAGCCTCGTCTGGAGGATCCAAAAAAGCCGGCAACTTGACGGCGAACGTGCTCGGCCGGCCGGCGGAGGACGTGAAAAACCACTTCACGATCGGGCGCGAGCTGGGGCGAGGCCAGTTCGGCGTGACGTATCTCTGCACGGACAAGAGCACGGGCGAGCAGTACGCGTGCAAGTCCATTGCGAAGCGCAAGCTCGTCACCGCGGAGGACGTGGAGGACGTCAAACGCGAGGTCGCGATCATGCACCACCTCGTCGACCACCCGAACGTGGTTAAAATGAAGGGTGCTTATGAGGACAAGCATTCCGTCCACATCGTCATGGAGCTCTGCGCGGGTGGAGAGCTGTTCGATCGGATCATCGCGCGCGGGCATTACAGCGAGCGCGCGGCGGCGACGCTGATCCGCACGGTGGTGTCGGTCGTGGAGTACTGCCACGCCAATGGCGTCATGCATCGCGACCTCAAGCCCGAGAACTTCCTCCTCGCCAGCAAGAAGGAGGACGCGCCGCTCAAGGCCACTGACTTTGGCCTCTCCATTTTCTACAAGCCAGGTGAGCTGGTCGCTGCTAGATTGGATGGTAAAAATGGGTGTTCCGAGTTGACTTTTGACTCATGTAAAAGTCAACGCGCCGCTCAAGGCCACTGACTTCGGCCTCCATTTTCTACAAGCCAGGTGAGCTGGTCGCTGCTAGATTGGATTGTGAAAATGGGTGTTCCGAGTTGACATTTGAGTCCTGCAAAAGTCAATGCGCCACTCAAGGCTACTGATTTCGGCCTCTCTATCTTCTTCAAGTGAGCTGGTCGCTGCTGAGTTGGTAGCAACTATGTGTTTTCTTTTGCAAACAAAACCATTTTTGTATAGAAGGTCCTATCCAGCATTATGACGACTGGAGATGTTATCGTTTACCTGTACTGACGCGACGCATTGGTTATTACAGTTGCCCTAGCATGGGTAGGATAACGAGGAAAAACCATGGGTTACTGCATTTTTCCGACTTTTGATTCATTATTATCATTTCCAAGCTCCACCTTCCACTGGAAAAATCATGCGATGCGGCAATGGCTGTCACCTGTCACCATGTCGTGTTTCGCGATTTTGTTTTTCATCCCTTGTCTTCCTCCATTCCGCCACTCATCTATTACCCGCTCGGGCAGGCGAAACATTTTCTGACATCGTGGGCAGCGCGTACTACGTGGCACCCGAGGTGCTTCGGCGAAAGTACGGGCCGGAGGCGGACGTGTGGAGTTGCGGCGTCATCCTCTACATCCTGCTCTGCGGCGTGCCGCCCTTCTGGGCCGGTGAGTCTTCCGCTAGTCACTGATGAAGCTGTCACTGCTATAATCGTGTTCTGAGGCATTTCAAAGGAAAACTTTAACCCTTATTTCTTTCCTGTCTTGCTCGTCCACGCGGCGTTCCCTTCCGCATCCCATTCATCCCATGCTGACCCCGTGCTCACCCCTTCGCTCCACCCCTTCCCCGTTTCTCCCCTCACAAACTCCATCCATTAGAGTCGGAGCAGGGCATTTTCAACGGGAACCCGCCATTCCCCTTTCCCCTCCCTCGCTTTTCTACCGCCCCTCCCCTCTCCACCCCTCCCTTCCTCTCGCACCCCGCGCCCGCACCCTATCACCAGAGTCGGAGCAGGGCCTATTCGACGCGGTACCCAAGGGGCACATCGACTTCTCGTCAGACCCCTGGCCGCGTCTTCCCCGCTCTTACCCTTCGATTTCCCCTCACATGCGCTGCTCTCCCCTCCCCTCACATTGCCTGCCTCCCCGCGGCCCACACGCGCATTCGACCCACCAGAGTCGGAGCATGGCATATTCGACGCGGTGCTAAAGGGCCACATCGACTTCTCGTCCGACCCCTGGCCTCTCACATGCACTCTCCACCTTCCTCTCCCCTTCTTCCCCCTGTCTTCCCCTCTCTCTCAACAACCCCACCAGAGTCGGAGCAGGGCATATTCGACGCGGTGCTCAAGGGCCACATCGACTTTTCGTCCGACCCCTGGCCGCTCATTTCGTCGTCCGCAAAGGACCTCATCAAGCGCATGCTCAAGC